ATTGTCGGGTGTATCTACAGATCCCCAAACTGTGGCCCACTAAATCAAAGGAACTTAGAGCCTTAATAGACAATGCAGTGATGCTCAACCCTCGCCACCTACTTATCATGGGGGACTTTAACTATGGCGACATCGACTGGAGAAACTATTTCACCCCAAATGACTTGAATAACCCTGCTACTCTTTTTGTCGAAACTCGGAGATAATTTTCTGTTCCAACATGTTAGAGACCCGACACATTACAAAGGGGAGCAAACACCCAAGCCACTAGACCTCATCATAACAAACGGGGAGGGTATGGTAGCCAAACTGGAACTCCTTGCCCCAGTTGGCACCAGTCACCATATAGTGTTGTCATTCAGATACTGTTACCTAGTTCAAGATAAGGCTAGGCCAAGGTGCAACTATTACAAAGGGAATTACAACGGGATGAGGGAAGAGATGAGGGGTGTCCACTGGCCCGACTCATTAAGGCACAAGAACGCAGACACTACGCTGAATATCATAACTAATAAAGTGACCCATTTGATCGATAAATACATACCCAAGACCAAACCCAGTGCCCACAGGAATACGGCGGTCGACAGAGTTAAGAAGAAAACCCAGCAACCACTGTTTTACTTTGAGGAACCCACCTGGTAATGCCTGGGGCAACCCCCCTTAAGGATCTCTGGATATCTCATGCTTTCAGCACCTTGGATGTGAAGAGATGTTGGTGCTACTTGAGGTGCTTACTGTCTCTATTTTTAGTGACCTGATGATACAGGAGGGAGAACTAGTCCTGGTATGAATGTCTGTGAAGGATCTCATCTACCTAACAAGAGTGAGATGGGTACCTGTACCTTGGTGCTAAGAATGAGCTACAGTACCTGTATGTATTGTGTGTATTATTGAGTCATCCTTACTCAGGTGATATCCAGTATTTTGGTGCTATTGGGGAAGGAGTGACCTCGGTAAGGTCAATGATTTTGTATGGAGAGAAGAAGACCTAAGTATTGGGGAGAAGGTCAAGTATTTTTGTGTGATCCTGTGACCTTAATTGTTTGGGGAAGGTCAATTAATTTTTGGATTGTGACAGAATGCAATATTTTTAATATGTGTAAAAAAAATTAGTTAGGGATATTGGCTGGTGTTTCACCCTTCCTTCCACTCTCAACTTGATTAATGAAAAACAAACTCATAGTGCTATAGACTGCTCTACCTAAAGAACACTGCACATGCTGTCCTGCAGTCTGGTAGCAGTGACCTTAAGTTAAGAAGTAAGTTAAGTAAAACCTAGTATTAAGTGACCACAATAAAGGGCAGTACAGTGGTCCCTCGGTTAACGAGTTACCTTCCATAAGATTCTTAACTTCGGTTAACGAGCAATCCCTCAATTAACGCGTTTCTTATGAGCCGACCTACACATATTTTAGCTTGCATTTGGCGGTCCACCAGCTGTAGTATTAGTCCGCCAATACAGTAATCGGTTCTAGGGCTTAAATTCCTTACCCTTTTAGTAAATATCAATAAGTTTATACTATTCAATAATTTTAAAAGTTTAATATTAAATTTTTTAGTCATTTTAACAATTATTGAACATAATTGAAGGTAATGAAACTAGTTTGTGGCATGCCATCCAGCCTGCCAACACAGCATACAGGCATCAGTCTTTGTGTCTTTTCAGTGGAGGTAACATCTTGCTTGAGACTCTCTTCAACTTAACGCTTTTCTTCTGTGTTTACAAGCAAATTATTGGTCATTTTGAAATTTATTTTACATATTGACAATATTTAATGCAGTGCAGTGTTGATTTAAAGAAAATAATCTTGAATTACACCAAAAGAACTAAAATTTTATGGGTGAAATGGCATCATGGGGTGACTTCTCTTCCACCCCAATGCCTTCTTTTCTCCCTTCTCCTCCACCCCCATTCTAATTCCCATCATCATCATCATCATCATCCAGGAGCCTTCTACATACACACCTCAAAGTAAGTGTACTTTTCTACCTTTCTTGTTGAATTTAGGCAATTTTCGGTGAGCTGGAACCAATTACCCAAAACCCATTGAAACAATGGTTTCGGTTAATAAGCAGCTAGAACGGATTGTGCTCGTTAACTGAGGGACCACTGTATAGTAGGCCCTCACAATAACCAACATCAAAACCACTTGTTGCAATAATGTAATAACCACACACATAAAAATAAACAATTCCTGAGACTTAATTTTGTAGATTTATTGCTCCTGCATTTTGGCAAGTTATTTTTTCTCCTGCAAGTTATTTTCTCCTACATTTGGGCAAGTTAGTTTTTCTCCTACATTTGGCAAGTTATTTTCCTACATTTGGCAAGTCATTTTCTCCTACATTTGGCAAGTTATTATTATTAATATATTTGTTAAACAATAATCAATACTGAGTGTGACATTTTGAAAGGAAATTACACATAACAGCAGTAAGTGCATCACAAAGTTAATCATTCCTCTCTCTCTCTCTCTCTCTCTTTCTCCTTTGATGTGTGTGTGTGTGTGTGTGTGTGTGTGTGTGTGTGTGTGTGTGTGTGTGTGTGTTAACCTAGTCCTAGACATATTTTTTCTATCGAACTAATAAAACTACAGTACAGGGTATACTTATTCTTTCAATCAAACCTTAATACTGTTTACCCAATAGGTAGAGCTCTCAAGTCCGCCCCATCGACAAATTTAGTATTTCCATAGTCCACAAAGTACACCTGAAACAGATATAACAAAAATACAATGAAATTCAAATAACTCAAGTGAATAATATAAGTATAATTATTATTACTTTTCATGGGTGCCTGAATAAAAGTAATATGTTTAATGAGCAATAATTCAAAACCTACCAAAACCTTTGAGTCACAATGGACCTCCTCAATACGTGCTCTGTAATAAGACTGTAAACCACCAATGTCTTTATATTTGGCAAGACATGCATGTCCCAGGGTAATGCCCACTAGTGACAGAAGAGGTGCTTCATCATTTGATATGGCCGAGTTAATACAGAGCAGAATATTAATCAGGTCACATGTTTCACTCTCATCTGGAAAGTTTCAGCCATTTCATTAAAAACTACCCAGAAACGTCCTGCCGTCTCTACCTGAAAAAAAAGAGATGGTTCATTTATAATACTGTATAGTCATAGTTGAGGAGAGCTTGTTGCTGAGGAGCAGCAACTTATATTCATGAATCAATCTAAAGGACAATAACTTTAACATTAACTGAAACTCTTATAAAATTTATCACTAATACTGGTCCAACAGTTGTGGCTAGAAGGTACAAACTAAAGTTTATACCAATGGAAGCTGGAGAACAGATGTCAAAAGACAGTTCCCAATCTTTATGGCATCTTGGGTATATAGGTACACACTATCAAAAGAGTATCTGCACATTTTACACAAAACTATCTGACACCACAGACAATGGATATTGTAAAATGCCATATATTGCTGGCTCGCGATATTTCTTGTTTTATCCATAGGAAGTATTGTTATTATATGCACAATCAGAAGAATGCAGATTAATCTTGCAAACAATGTGTAGCGTGGTTCATGTTGGTGGTTGCATTGCAGCACTGGTGTGTTGATCATTTAGGAAAACATTGTACACAACGTACAGATATGTTTATGATTGCGTGTACTAGTAAGTATTAATTACCTGTATACACAAAATACTCATCTGAGTTAGTAACTTTCATTATACATTATATGTGATGAAACAATATACTGTATAGTGTACAGTATCTTAAGTTTTACAATGACAAACACAAATGTGCATGCCCGGTACTTGCCAACAGTGCGTAACAAGAGACGTGACCGATCGCCCAAGCGGCTAACGAGCCGATCAGTGGTGAAGAGGATAAAAGTAAAAGTAAAGTAAACACCTACAGTACTTACATGAGAAACATACACCTTCCAGGCATGATCTATTTGTGTTGGTAATATAGGAGGCTTCATTCTGCAAACTGAGGGTTGGGTGACCCTAACATCAGTGAAGAGTGTCCATTGTTGAGAATCCTTCCTTAATGTGAGTGAAGAATTAGACTGGACGTTAGAGCCCAGGGCCTCCTTCAATTTTCTTTCTCATTCCTCTGGACTGTAAAATGTTATGAAAAACTATAACATGTTAAAACTACCAAGGAAACAAAGTGCAGCACAATAAGTCCTCCCACAACCTAGTTATTATATTGCTATTATTTTGGTACCCAGGGTTCTGACAACATCGGTCTTTAGCCCGTCAGATTCATTATAGCGTCCTCATATTACAGATTCCTCTGATAGCATTATGACAGATGAAATGACATTAGAGCTGACAGTAAAAGAATTTGAGCAAAACAAAGTGAAAATAAAGATTATCTTGCAATGAGCTGATGACCGCTAATAAACAGAATAATCCACTGCCCTACAAGTCATCACCACCTTAACAGGCACCAAAGAAAACTGATCAAATGTCTTCATTTAATACTTATTTATTACCCCTTAAAAACCTTAATTAATGAAACAAACAGTATTTAAAATA